AATGTCCTGCTGCCAGAGACCCCTAATTGCTGTGATTGCAAAGCCCAGGGGCAGAGGAAACACTGGGATATGGGAGGGAACCAGAGCGTCTGCTGCCGAGTTCCCCAAGGGAGAGATGAGCAGGACCTTCCGGGCCCTGACCTGGGCTCTGTGGGGTGCTGCACCTTCCCTTGGTGGAGGCCGGCCTGATTGCAGAGTTTGCATCTGCAGGCCTACGCAGGACCAAGGCACAGGGGGTGGGGGTGTCTCCTGATTCTCCCGGGACCCGCCTTCCTGGTTGGGGTGCGGGACGTGGCCAAGGACAGCAGGGCAGCCCCGGGTGACGGGGGGACTAGCTTCCAGGACAGGAGGGGCGGGGGCTGGAGAAGGGAGCTGCAGGGCTGCTATCGGGCTAGGAAAACCTGAGCACAGCCTAGCACCCCCTCCCGGTGAGGAAAATAGGGGGGCGGGGAGGTAGGAGAGAAGCCACAGTTGGGGCCCCCCCCAAACAAGGGAAAGGAAGAGACAGGAAGTGGCGGAGAGGAGAGAGACGAAGAGGCACAATTAGAAAGATTAAGAAGGAAGAATCTTTTTTAGCAGGTAAGGAGGAAGGGACTGCAGGAATCTCAGAGGAATCTCAGAGCCGGGACCCAAAAGGGCCCAATTCCTCCTGAGCTGGTACCTCTGGTAATTTCACCTGGTAGCCACTGGGGGCAGCAGAGAGCCACCACGCAGCGAAGGATGCAGACCAATCAAGAACGGGGAGTCCGCGGCGGGGGGCACAGCAGGGAGTAGGAGGTGGTGGGTGGGTGGGGGGTCAGGGCGGGACAGGGAGGGGCAGGGTTGACACATTGCCCAAGGCAAATCACCAGGACCAGTGGCAGAGATCCAGGGGATCCCTGTGGCTTTCCCACTGGAAGCTGCTATTTCTAATGTAAGCAAGATGTAGTCTTAACGAGGGCAATAAAGTCCAGAAGTAACGGTGTAAACGGTTGATAACTGCTGTCTCACTTCCTGGTTTATTATTAACATTATTATCATGATCATTATTTTTTTTTTTTAAAGATTTTATTTATTTATTTGGCAGAGAGAGACACAGTGAGAGAGGGAGCACAAGCAGGGGGAGTGGGAGAGGGAGAAGCAGGCTCCCCGCCGAGCAGGGAGCCCGATGTGGGGCTCGATCCCAGAACCCTGGGATCATGACCCGAGCCGAAGGCAGGCGCTTAACGACTGAGCCACCCAGGCGCCTCATGATCATTATTATTTTAAGGAGGGGCCGTCTGTGCTTTGAATCCCAGGCTTACATCTCTGTCCGCCTTTCCACTATACTTTCTCCGAGAGTTTTATTCTCCATGGCAGTCATTGTCGTCCACTGATGGGGAAATTAAAAGTCTCTAGCCCAGAGCGTCGATGGCTAGGAGAGCAACCTCCCTGGGCTGGTTGATCTGTGTGTGTGTGGTTTTTCTGGTTTCAGTTGAAGAGGTCCGAACGAGTTAGGGTTGCCATTGGGGGGAAAATGTGTTTTTCGTGGATTGAGTTGGATGGGCAGTCTCTCCAAGAACACGTCTCACTTACGCTCTGACCTCACCAAGCCGCTCCCCCCCCCCCCCCCCCCAGCCTTTGGGGCATGCCTGGTAATGCCTCTGGTAGTAGGAGTCTGGGTGTTTCTGGAACCACCTGAAACCCCAGGGTTAGAACCCAGGGTCCGTCAGGCCCCAAGCTGCTGTTTCAGCTTTGCTTGGTCAAGGAGGCTGGCGTGCTGTAAACAGATTAGGGAATCTTTTATTGGAAAAAGCCTAGAAATGGCTTCCTCCCCAGGGGTGGTATGGTCATCTTGGGTGATGTTTCCTGCTGCTGGTGAGGTCACTCAGCCAGAGTCCCCGTGGCTCGCTCCAGATGTCCACCCGGCCTGGCCCGGCTGCCTTCCTGCCTCAGGCTTGCGGTGGCCCTGTGTTTTGGGTTGGCCTTATGTTTTGGGTTGGCCGGGGTTGGCCAGGATGAGGAGGTGGGCTGGGCTGACTCCTTCAGGCCGTTTTCTTGCCCTGATGAAGTTTGGCCTGAGAGTTGTGGTTCTTGTGGGAGGGGAGGGGCTCCAGCTTCTGGGGGGGCCTGTAAGTGACCCCGGCCAGCCAGTGCAACAGAAGGGGCCTTCTTGACTGCAAGCCTGCATCTCCCTGAGATTTCGGACCCTCGTCCTGCAGCCCCCTGGGTGCACGATGCCACACTGGCTCTCTTACTCTGTCATTAGGATTCACAGTGGGGAGGTGAAGGGGCCCTACAGGGACAGCTGAGCCACGCCACTGTTCGCATCCTGCGAGTCACCTCCCCCTGCAGCCCTCCGGGGTTACTCCATCTGCTGCCAGGAGTCACTGTGGTGTTCTTTTCTTAAGACCCATGAGTGCAGCTCCCACCCACGTAGAATTCGGTTTCATCTGGGCTGAGAAGAGCTGGTGGTCCCTCATAGACCCCATGTATCTGCAGGCGTTTGCTGCCCTGCTCCCAGCCGAAGGTCCCAGGCTCCGACGGGGCAGAACTTTGAAATCAGGTCGGTGGCTTTAGCCACCAAAGGGGTGGGGGCAGCAACACAGAGCGGACGTTTCCCTGGGGACCTTTCCCGTGTGTAGGAGAACGGGGCTGTTTGTCCCTGAAGACTGGAGGGGGATTGGTGGGCTTTTTACCCTCCCCCCCCCGTGTTGACCAGCTATTGGATGGGCAGCACTCCCCGCCCCCCACCCCAGGCAGAGCCTTGGGCAGCTAGCTCCCTTTGGCCACAGGCAGTGCGCCCCGAGAGGGACTCAGCTGGGAGCCTCTGCAGCTGGAGACATCCTGGCATGACTCTAGAAAGTTGGGGCATTTGGCAGCAGGGGAGAAACGCAGTCTGGGAAGGCTGCATGGTGGAAGAGGCCTTTTGGTTCAGACTTGACTAATGAATAAGATTCTGCCATCCAGGGATGGTGGTGGGGCCGAGGGAGTGACTATAGCAAAGACATGTTCTGAGACCAGCAAATGTGCTGGAGTGAAGTGAGTGGGAGGGCAGTCTGGACAGATGCAGGGGCTATGAGGTTTGGACGTTATTCTGTGTGCTAGGTCGGGAAGGAGCCAGCAAAGGATTGTCCCTGTGTGTGTGTGACCTGTAGGGAGAGCAGGGCTCTGGGGTGAGCCTGCCGGTTCCTCCTCCCACCGGAAGCCACTGAGCCTGCTCTTCTGGTCACTCCTGGAGTCCTAAGACCACCGATCAAAGCTGGAGGGCCAGAGTGTTGGGGCCAAAAAGACCAGTGAGCCCAAGCCTTTCATTTCGGATGAAGAATCAGAGGACCAGAGACGCCGTGTGAGTTGCCCAAGGCTGCACAGCAGATGACAGGCAGAGCTGAGGCAGGAACCCAGTTCTCTTGAGTCCTAATTGAGAGAGGCCATTGAAAAGTTGTGCTTATTTTTGTTTTCTGAGTATCTGAGACCATCGAGATTTTAATAATAGAATTTTTGATTAAATAATGTTATGTCCACGTAATGGACTCACTAAAAATAACTTTATGTGGGCGTTTGGCACAAATACAGTGATTGCCTTGAGTGGATACCATTATCGATCTCTTTTTTTTTTTTTTTAAGATTTTATTTATTTGACACAGAGGGACACAGCGAGAGAGGGAACACAAGCAGGGGGAGTGGGAGAGGGAGAAGCAGGCTTCCCGCGGAGCAGGGAGCCCGATGTGGGGCTCGATCCCAGGACCCTGGGATCATGACCAGAGCCGAAGGCAGACGCTTAACGACTGAGCCGCCCAGGCGCCCCTATCGATCTCCTCTTACAGAGGAAGAAACTAAGGGAGCAGGAAGACAGGTGGCTTGGCTGAGGTTCCGCGGGTGGGAAGAGGCAGAACTGGGATTCTAACCCAGGAGGTCTGGCTCCAGGATCACCGCTGTTCAGGGGTGCTAACCACATGCGTTCCAGCCGCCTTAAGGGGTTTCGAAAGATAAAAAAGTCGATACGTGAAAAGAAAGTACAGTATGATTTTGTTTTATTTTAAAGATGTATACGTGCCTCGAAAATATATCGCTGAAGATACCGAAGTGTTGATAGTGAAGACTTCTGAGCTGTGGGACTATGGATGCTACCCTTCTTTCCTTCCTTCCTTCCTCCCTTTTAAAGATTTTATTTATTTATTTGAGTGAAAGGGAGAGTGAGAGAGAGAGTGAGAGCACACACTCACGAGCAGGGGTAGAGGGAGAGGGAGAAGCAGGCTCCCCGCTGAGCAAGGATCCCGATGCGGGGCTCGATCTCAGGACCCCGGGACCAAGACCTGAGCCGAAGGCAGACACTTAACCGACTGAGCCACCTGGCGCCCCAGATGCAGCTCTTTTCTCTGTGTCTTTCTACATTGTGAAATTGTATAGAGTGCGAAAGGGATCATTTTTATTACCGGATAACTTTATGAGAAGTCTCTGCTCGCAGGGATGACATGGCTAATACCGTGTTCGGGGGCAAGCACACGGCTGCAGGTATTAGTTTTTTTTCCCTGGCTGGCCGGTGTGGCTGGGCATCTGGGGAGGGAGAAGCAGCCAGTCTGATGCAGGAAGTACTTGGGAAATCACCCCCATTTGACAGAGGGCCCCCCACCCCCCTTGTCTCTGTATAGACCCCAGGCCAGGGCTCTTTCCTCTGGCTTGGGGGTTTCAGGTGACAGTGGGCACGTGGGAGAAATGGCCAGGTGGCAGCTGGGGGTTCAAGGGCACAGGACAGACATGGAGGTGTGTGAGTTGGCAGCCTTGGGGGATTGGAGGGGGTGACGGGGGACGTTTCCAAGGATCCCAGCCCCAAGGCCACCTCCTCCTGCTCTCAGCTGTATGGAGAAGGGTCCCAGTAAAGAGAAACCGTGTAGTCACGGGGTGGGGGGGGATGATGTGGGGGCCGAAAGCCATCTCCTGCTTCCCGGGGGTTGGGCATGAAGGTGGCCGGCCAGGTCTCTACGTTTCCCGGTTCTGCGCTATAAGCATCTCCAAGTGATTGTGTTTCTTTCTTTGACCAGAGACCACCTGGGAACGTCCGGGCAGTTCTCCTGGGATTCCAGCCAGCCCTGGCCCTCACAGGAGCTCTCTTCCTCCAACAGGTACTGTCTACTCTCTACGTCGGGGCGACCGGGAGGGACCACACACCCACCTTCCCTGGAAAGGCCAAGACTCTGGGTTCTGGGGTCTGGAACGTGGCTGGGGATCTGGCCAAACCCAGGCAGGGAGCAGTTTAAAGGACCAGGAAGGTGGGCTCTCCCTGGCAGTGTGGGCAGCAACCTGATGGCTCACCCTCACTCCCTTCAGGTGCTTACGGAGGGAAGACGACCGGGTGAGGTGAGGCCTCAGGGCCGTAACCTGTCTGCTGGTGTGGGTACCCAAAGTGGGGGCAGAACTGCTCTGCACAGTTCCGGAATGCATCAGAGAGTAGAGTCAAAGGAGGCAGATTTTTATGGGGCAGCTTTCGAGTAGAGTGTTCTAGAAGGCACTTGGGATTTGTTGTCAGGGCGTGAGTTCTCTGTCTGCAAAGGCAATCAAGTGGAGGTGGTTGAGGTCGACATTCCTATCCTAGGTGGGGGTTTTATTCTTTTTTTTTTTTTAATTTTTTTTATTCTTATGTTAATCCCCATACATTACATCATTAGTTTTAGATGAAGTGTTCCATGATTCATTGTTTGTGCATAACACCCAGTGCTCCATGCAGAACGTGCCCTCTTTAATACCCATCACAAGGCTAACCCATCCCCCAACCCCCCTCCCCTCTAGAACCCTCAGTTTTTCAGAGTCCATTGTCTCTCATGGTTTGTCTACCCCTCCGATTTCCCCCGCTTCATTCTTCCCCTCCCGCTACCTCCTTCTTCTTCTTTTTTTTTTTTCTTGACATAGATTGCATTATTTGTTTCAGAGGTACAGATCTGAGATTGAACAGTCTTGCACAATTCACAGCGCTTACCAGAGCACATACCCTCCCCAGTGTCTATCACCCAGTCACCCCATCCCTCCCACCCCACCCCCCACTCACTCCAGCAACCCTCAGTTTGTTTCCTATGATTAAGAATTCCTCATATCAGTGAGATCATATGATACATGTCTTTCTCTGTTTGACTTATTTCACTCAACATAATACCCTCCAGTTCCATCCACGTCGTTGCAAATGGCAAGATCTCATTCCTTTTGATGGCTGCATAATATTCCATTGTATATATATACCACATCTTCTTTATCCATTCATCTGTCGATGGACATCTTGGCTCTTTCCACAGTTTGGCTATTGTGGACATTGCTGCTATAAACATCGGGGTGCACGTACCCCTTCGGATCCCTACTTTTGTATCTTTGGGGTAAATACCCAGTAGTGCAATTGCTGGATCATATGGTAGCTTTATTTTCAACTTTTTGAGGAACCTCCATACAGTTTTCCAGAGTGGCTGCACCAGCTTGCATTCGGTGGGGGTTTTATTCTGAGACTCCAGGAGGCAGGTTGATGTAGAGCCCTCACCCATCGGTCCAGATCCCAGCCCTCAGAGCGCACCCCCCATTGGTTATGGCTCTCCCACACTAGACTGCACGCTCCCTGAGGGTGGACACTTCCTCTCCCCCTGACTTCTGTGGAATCCTCAGTCCCCAGACATGGGCTGGCTTCAGTGTGGAGGGAACTCACGAATGTCTCCACAATCGCAGGGGGCGTGAACTCGATTTGTTGGTCTTCGGACTTTACGCATCAGCCGGGCAGCAAAGCCCGGAAGTCGTAGTTCTGGTGGCGGCCTGGAATTTGCATGTTGGCGGCCCGGTGTAGCTGGACTGAGGCAGGGAGGCACACGGGAGGGGAGGGGTGGGGAGGGGAGGGGAGAAGCAGCAGTTTACCTGGAGGGTGGTGAGGGCCTGCACAACCTTCACGTGCCCCAAGTCATCGGAGGTCTACGGAGCTTACCTAACCCATCCCAGGTGACCAAGGGAAGAGCTAAAATGATGACCGAGTGAGGGGCAGGGTGAATGCATGAGCACATGTGTGCAGACAGGCGTAGGAAGGACAAGCAGCTTTTAACCCTTGGATTAGAGGAAGGGTCTCGGGTGCAGAGAGTGGGCTGCCTTTCATCGAGAAGAGTCTTTAGACATTCTCTACCACTGATACATTGAGAACCCAACGTGTATTATGTGGTCCATATAATATAAAGCTATATGATCCAAGTATATGATTTTGGGAAATGAGAATTGCCAGAGCAGAAGAATTCAAAAAGCAACATAGTAGGAAAATAGAGAAACAGAGCTCCGGAGAATCAATCAGCCGAGGCACGGGAGAGGGGGCGAGCAGGTGTTCTAGGCTTTTTAAGTGTTTTTATTTACATCTTACGTGTGTGTGTGTATTTTTTTTACTTAAATTTAAAAAAAAAGAATTCAAACAGAGAGGAACCCTCTTGGGAGGGAGGGAAACGGGGCATTTGCTCGTGATGCCCTAGGGACGGGGTGAGCCCTGCATCGCGAGAACCGAGCCCATTCAGCCTTCCTACCTGTTGTACGGACGACAGGCCGTTCTGGGCACACTGCCTGCCCTGTTGTCGTCCTTGGGTTTTTGTTTTTGTTCTTTTTGGCAATCGAGATGCCAGCACAAATCAAGCGAGGCGTGGCCCTCTATCCCGGCTGGCTCCGGGCCAGCCAGACACCAGAAAGGAGACAACCCAGCTGTTTGTCTGGGGCCAGAGCGGTTGGTCTGCGAAGGCCGGGGGAGGCGTGTGGAGGTGTCAGGCGTGAGCTGCCATGGCCTGTCGCAGCCTGCCACGTACACCGGGCTGGCGGGGCTGGGAGAGCTGGGCGGGGGACTCGCCCTCTGTGGCCGTGGGGTCACCTCCCAAAGCCCGCTCTCCCTGGTGCGGTCCCTCCCCAGCAGCAGCCTGTCCCCTCTGTGCTGTGTGGGGGCCGTCCCCCCAGAATGGGGGCTGGCAGGAGCTGGTTCTGGGCTAGTGGGACAGGTTCCCGCCTTCACCTGAGCAGCACAACTGGATGCCTGTCCACGGAGCACTGAGCTGGGTGCTGGGGCTCTGAGGGGAGCTGAGAAGGGCGGGGAGATGGGCGGAGAGGGTCAGACCCACTGACGAGGATTGTCAAGCGGGCCAAGGCGTTGGGCCAAGGCGTTGGACCGAGCGTGTGGCCACCGACCTGCCCTCCTCTGCCCCCAAACGCGGGGGGCTGGGACACCTGTTCCCAAGTCCGTGGGTACCTAGGTCTGTCAAGTTCTCTGCCCAAAAGGGCCTTGCAGCCTCGTGCAGTTGGAAGTTCTGCCTACCCTTCGGCCCTTGGGAGATGGAGCAGACACATCAGCATTCTGATGAAGACCCCGTTTGATTCCGTGCTTCCTTCCCTTCCTTTTGTTGGTCGGCAACATCCGTACGTACTAGTTAGGTTTTCTGCCCCGGCGCAGTGGTTCTCACTCCTGGGGGTGATTTTGCCAGGGATGCATTGCCCCGGACAGCTTACCCCTCCTCCCACAAAGGGCTATCCAGCCCCATGTGGGGGTGGTGCCAGAGTTGAGGAGCTCCGTTCCGGGGTGACTCAGTACGTCTGTTCAGCACCGTTCAGGGGACGGGTGACAGACCGCACGGCCCATCGAAACGAGAAACAGCAACATAATCCACAGAAGCCTCGTTCCCCGGCTCAGAGACCCACCTTTCGTGGGTTCCGTGGAAGTCAGATGCATCCCACAGTCAGCATGTACCCCTCATTCAAGGAGAGGCCTCTTTGTTTCCTTCCCCCATGGCACTGAACATCAGGGTGCCTCTCCCGGTCGTGGCTTCTTAGATTGAGATTTAGAAATGACGACTGGTCAGACTCGGGCGTCGGGCACCCCGCACCTTCTCGCCAGGCCTCGTTTGGCCCATTTACACAGCGCGAGGGCCTGGAGAAAGGCCGTGGCTCAGGTCCTGTCCAGCCCTCTGCGGATCACGGTTCTTGATTCTCTGCACCCCGGGCCACGGACACGCTTTGTGTCCACGCTCGGGGACGGGAGGGAAGAAACCTTATCCATGAGGCTGTAGGAGCCTCCGTGATGTTTTGACGTCTTCTTTTCTAGCTTTTGAACAAAACTTCTCTGGAGAATGAAATAGGAGGCACATGGGCAGTTCCCTCTACGGAGAGCACTAGGTTTTTTCCAGATACTCTCTCATTCAGTTTTGCAGGCAGCTTTCAGGAGATTGAAAGACTCGGCGGGGACCTGAGGTTGCTGGAGCTTAACTGTGCCCCCCGGCCCCATGATCCTGGGGTTGTCGACTCCCCTCCTGTTGTACTCGGGCTTCTGCAAATGCAGCAGTGGCGGAGTTTCAAGCCTTTCCTGCAAAGGCTATGCTGGATGCTGTTCTTGGTGCCTGGGATCGCACCACAGACAAGCCACACCTGTGTTTGGAACTGCTCCCAGGAACCCACATTCTAGCCGGGGACTTGGGCAAACAAGCAAACGTGAAATAGGTCAGGTTGTCCTTGCAAGGCATTAAAGTCGGACCGAGTGGGACTGGGGAGTCAGGGACGGCCCCAGTGAAGAGCAGATGGGTATGTGTTGAGGGCGGTGGTGAAGTGTTCTGGGCCAGGGAGCGGCCAGTGCAAAGGCCCTGGGGCAGGAGTGACGTTGGCACGGCCATTGTGGCTGGAGGGTGGGTGGGGGGCGAGGGGGAGAGCAGTCAGCAGGGACAGAACCTGCTGGGTCCCCCAAGCTACAGGAAGGTGGTGGGATTTCATCCTGAGCTCGGTGGTTGGAAGTGAGGGTAAGAGCGACTTGCAGTGGAGGTGTCTTGTCTTCATGAGATGCTGCCTTCTCGAAGCAGCCGGGCACTACTTGGCTGAGTCAGGATTGTTCTCGGTTAAGCAGCGACAGGCATTACGGTGGGGTTGGGGGTGGGGGGGGTAGGGGGTGAGAGCAGCATGGAAAACTCCGCCTCATTCATTGACCACAGACATCCCGTATGGTCCTTTCTGAAGAAGAACATGGAAAAGCAGGTCAGGAAGAATCTCTGCAGGAACCCCAAAGGAACCCGGCCAAGGTCAGCTCAGGCAGCCTCCCCTTCGTGGAGGCAGAAGGCTGAAGAAGTCCACGGGGCTGTTTTACTCCTGAGTTGTA